TAATTTGACTTCCTAAACCTAAAAGCTGATGGGTGGGAGTGAAACTGACCAGAAGTGGCAGGGCAGCTTCCCTGGAAGAGCCGAGGAGGCCGCGGAGGGGCAGGAGTAAGGAGCGTGGTGCAGCAGGATGGGTGAGGGTCTGGGGGGGCTAGCATCCTCCTGACAGGCCTGAGCAAATGCCACGTCAGTTATTAAAAAGAGGTCCAAAAGGGATCCAGGGAATCACCTACCAGGTAGCCTAACATGCATTCCGGGTAAATTAGTAGAAATTGCAACCAAAGATAGAATTAAGCACACCAACCAATGATAGAATTAAGCACACCAAGCACACCTGCTGAGAGAAAATCAGCATGGCTTCTGCAAAAGAAGTCCTGCTTCACCAACCTTGGACTAAGGGGGAAATTTTTACAGGCCCCTGAGCAAGATGATCCCAACTGTCCTGGTTTCCATTAGAATGAAACAAGATCTTCTCTCGGTTTGTGCTGAAACCTGAATGAAATAAGTGCAACAGACCGTGCAAATTACAGCAAACTCTGCCTTTCTTCCAAGTCTCCTGGAAAGCCAGGAGAGAGGGGGTTACAGCAAGCACTTCTAGTGACTAAACAGTAAACCGAGCCGAAATTTGCAAGCCCACCGCAGAATGGAACTTCCATCCAAACTGCTTACAGGCCCTGTTCAACTCCTGTCTTCCCGTGCTGTTGCTCAGTTCCCTTGGGCAACCTTACAGATTGTTTTACTGATTTACTGAGGTAATCTGTTCCTCACCTGGAGGATCCCCGGGCCCGGTTCACCTGACCTGATCCTGCTTGAGGCACATTGTATCTAGGTGATGCAACTGGGGCTCTGTCTGAACAGGTTCAAATCTCCCCCCAACACCACAACTCCAAATGAACTCCAAGGCATGACGTTGACAGACTCCATACAAAAGTATGTGCACGCAACGTACACCGTAGCAAGACTGCATGCAAAATGATTATCACATAGAATACTTCGATCCAGCCTTTCACCCACGCTGGCCCACAAAACAGTTGTCTACAAATTTAAAATCCATTAAACAAATGGATTTTTTTAAAAAATGTTTCCTCTGCATATTATTTAACGGCCCAAAAAGCAATAAAAGCCAGCCAGCATAAAAAACGAGAAACCTCAGAATTCAAAATTCCTCCAGATCCTACCCAATGATCTTGACTCATCAACCTCAAAAGCGCCAACAAAATGCAATCTGTTATCCCATTATGAATCTCCTAACATTCCTCCAGTGTAGCACCCACAAACGGCTTATGTACTCTGATTCAGATCAGAATTCCTGCTCCCAAGGTAACGTGCACCAAAATGTTGTAAGGGAACAGAAGGAGGGGGTGGATGGAATTCACTCTCAGAACTATTTCACACACCAAAGTACACCTCCCAGCACCCAGTTTGTGTTTGCTGTCCCCGTTGATCTGCTGCTTACTGTGCTTATTTATTCATCCATCTGTTAATGTTATCTGTAGTCCACCTTTCTCCCTGAGGCTCCAGGCAGATTACACAGTGTTAAGTCATTGCAATCAATAGGAAGAGATGCATATTAAGCAATGCAATAGGACTGGGATTGCAGAAATACCCACTCGAGGTGCAGTGTTCACAATCCAGCAAGAAAATGTGTCCTGAGATCAGTTAAACACAAAGATAAAAAGAAGAGATTGGATTTATACCCCGCCCTTCACTACCTGAAGGAGTCTCAGAGCGGCTCACAGTCTCCTTTCTCTCCCCCCTCCCCACAACAGACACCCTGTGAGGTAGGTGGGGCTGAGAGAGCTCTCCTGAGAACTGCCCTTGACAGAACAGCTCTGACAGAACTTGTAACTGACCGGTTATACTAGCAGCTGCAAGTGGAGGAGTGGGGAATCAAACCTGGTTCTCCCAGATTAGAGTCCACAGACTTAACCACTACACCAAACTGGCTCTCAAGAAGAAGAGACAGAAGGTGGCACCCCAACCACCTTTTCCACAGGCAGGATGGGGCTCCCTTTGACCACCAAAAAGGCAGAGGTAGGGAATCATGGGAAGGAAGGCAGCAGGGTACAGCCCAGCCTCATCAGCTCTTGGAAGCTAAGCAGGATCAGTACTTGAATGGGAGACCACCAAGGAAGGCTCAGCAGAGGAAGGCAATAGCAAACTACCTCTGCCTCCCACTTGCCCTGAAAGCCCCTTGCTGGGATTGTGATAAGTAGGTTGCAATTAATGGCACACATGTGTGTAGGGAATCATGGGATCTGAATGGACAAAAGCCATTTGGGATTGGGGCAGTAAGCAAGGGGGGCACTGGGTGATACTGAATGAAAACGCCGGCTGGATCCAACCCAGGATGTATCCCTTTCCCATTCAAGGAAACGAACCTTTGTTTTCTTTTTGAATCTGTTCTCCTCACTTGCTACAAGGACATGTGGCTGCATGCACCCAAGAACTGATGACAGACACAAGCCATGCCACCAGCCCCAGAAGTACCTCCAGCACCTATGGGGCTTGCGCCAGTTGCTTAATGGAGGCACTCCAGTGTGCTGAGCAAAAAGGTCGACCATGCCATATATGCCAAACTGAGAATTGGGGGGGGGGAGACGGGGACTCAGGGATTTGTGCTGGTGCTAAGAGGAACTTCTTCCAAATGGACCAAGGTGATGGCTGGAAGAGAAGTCAGCATTCTCAATGCAACAAAGGGTCTTCGTGATCATGACACTGGAACTTTGGAACTCCCTCCCCAGGAGGACTCGTCTGTCTCCCTCTATCGTTCTCTTCCCCCGGCACCTGAAGACTTGTTTTGTTTTGCTTGGCATATGCCCAATAACTGTTATTGGCCCTCCTCCCTGGCTTTGGCGCTAACTGTGTTTATACTGTTTTTATTTCATTATCGTATGTGTACATTATCTTAAATGCTGTTTTGATGTTCGCAGCCTTGGGGAACTTATTGGGGTGGAAAGACAACACAGAAATGTTTTAAATAAGTCTTAACGGGGGTCTAAAAACCATGTGGCTTTGGCGGCCACCTGAGTTAAGCCGAAGTTCTTTGCCAGCTGAGGGGCCAGACTAGATAGGATAGCGTAAAAGTTGGACTACTGACAAATTCCTATGAAGCGGGAGCCATGTAATGCGTGGCAGGAGTCAGTAAACTGAAGGAAAGGAGCTGAAATCATTAACCACGCCCCCCTCCCCGCCCAACTGCTAATGTCATGGCTGCTTATTTCCTACTAACTTCAACACCGGAGGTGATCATCACTGGGAGAAAAACGGCCGAAAAATGAATTGGGGGGAGACACATCACAGTCAGGAGGAATGCTCAGCATTCTCCCCCTCCCCATTTATACCAACTTGGTACAATCCAACTGGGCTGTGCCACCGTAATGTCTACCACAAAAATATACATATACAAAAAGGTGGGGGAAAGAGGGTGTTTGGTAATGGGATAGCCCACTGTGTTTGCTCCCAATCCATCAGCAACCTTAAAAATAGACTCCATAGGCTATTTTTGGTAGAAACTCTCCCAGACCAAACAGTTGCATTGCTGTAGCTATGCTTGATACAAGCCCAAGGTCATCTCTGGGTAAGGACAGATTCTTTGCCAGCTCCACAGTACCAGGTGTATTTGGAAAGAAGCGCTCGCAGTTACCAGAGACATGATGAGGCTGTAGGTTGCGTAACTAACCAGTGGTATTTTGGCATCCAGAAATTACTACGTGCACAATTCAGCAGTGATTTATTGCTGTTTCGCCCCAGGTGCTGGAAAGAGACAGTCCAGGCAGTCCTGAAATAGTTAGGATGCCTTCCCTGTTCAAAGGCACCGTCCCTTCACATCGCTTTACTCTGTGGGTCAAGAGGACCCTCCCATCACAAAGCAATACCACCCAGCTGGTCTTCCATTGACTCGTCACTTGGTGCATCGCCCAAAACTAATATCCACTTTAATAACAAAAGAAGGGCTACCACTGTTTTTGCTCCACCATACAAGGGTCATCTATATTCCATCACAGCTGGGGAGACATCCAATTGTTAGCTTCTATATTCTGGAAAGGCATACTTTTTTGTTTTGTTTTAACACTTGCAGAAGCCTGTTATGCACCCTACCCTGTGAAATCCAACCAAGTCTGAAATGTGTTCTGCGCTTCTGCAAACTGCAGAGTCGGGAGCTCTTCAATCACGTCCCGAATCATCAGTTCCCACGTCCCCTTTCCCCTTGCTTTCTTTCGTACCAAATATCCACCCTGACGAACAGTTCGGGAGAACTCGAAAGTTCGCCCCTTGTTTTGTGATACTTTGTGGGTCCTAACAAAAAGGAGTTATACCACATTTCTTTCTGGAATGTTTGTGTTAACCAGCACAGTGACTGTAGATGGGAATTCAGAAAGTGCACTGCTGGATTAGGCCACCAGTTGGACTGCACTGGAAATTTTCGCTAAAAAAGAAGGGGTGATTTCTGCCGACTCCTCCCTCCCACTGTTATTAAGAGGAACATTGCAGAGAACATTTCGAGGTGCAGCAGGAGGGGGAAATCACAGAAAATGCATTCCGAGGACAACTCTCTTCCATCAGCAGAGATTTACGGCCGGATTCAAGCCCAAGGCACCCTGTTGTGCCCAAGCACAGCAAGCCCCGCATTTTCCAGAATCCCACAAACAAGGCATGAAAGCAATCAGCCTCCCCATTGTCTGTCCCCACCCCCATCATCTGGTGCTCTGGATGAGAGATGCCTCTGACAAGGGACTTTCATGGAGCCATCTTGGCTAATGTGGAACAGCCGCAGTTTCATCCACACAGGCCAACCATTTGGCGGCAAAGCACTCAGACGCCAAAACTAATCTGGGCTTCCATTGTTGTTGAAATTTTTGTTGGTTTTTTTTTAAGAGGGAGGAGACAACGTGACTAGGAGTCGGTTCTCAACACCCCACCTCCCTCCTCCTCCAGAACCGGAGGCCCGCGCTTCCCCCCGTTTTCCCACCCCAGTTCGGAGGCATTCCTTCCCCACTCACTCTGGCGTGTTGATCCAGATGATGTCCAGGTGGCAGTAATAAACACACTCCTTATCCTTGTAGGTGTAGCACGTACAGCGCTTGGCTCGGTGGTGCCCTCCTCCCAGGCCAGCTTCTTTTCCCGCGCCAGCGGTGTTGCCACGCCTGGAAGACAACAGCTCCCCTGCTGGTGTCTCAGTTTCTTCACTCTCTCTTTCCTGAAGCTCCGGAGGCCTCAGTCCGCGACTGATGCCACCACCCGGAGGCAGCAGGGGGGGAGAGACGGGCAGCGGGAAGCCTAGTGGCCAAAGAGAAAAGAAAAAGAGCGAAGTAAGAGGGGTGGGTTTCTATCCATACACACCCCATTCTTGGATAGGCAGCTGTAGGTCTGGATAAAGGAGCAATACTGGGGAAAGGGGGAGGGATTCATAGGCTGTTACTAAAAAATCTCCAGCAAACATCAGCGTGTAGAAATAAAAGCGGTAAAAAAAAAACCCAGCAGATCGTGCATAAAAACATCAAGAGAAAATAATTACAACATTAATAAGATATTTAAAGCAAGGGCCTGCATGATGGGGCTGTTCCGCCAGGCCTGAGATTGCAGTCTCCCACCCACTGATAACCAGCCATACCTAGTTATATCAATGGGCTGGATTCCCCCTACAGCAAGCATGACTCTTGGTTTTATGTGTTGTTTTTTTTCAAATAAGTGTTTTTTTTATTATCTTAAACCATATATACAGCAGTACATTCAGAACACATATTAATACCATGCAATAATCAACATTCTCAACCCATAAGAGCCTTTTAAAAATATAACAGATCTTTGTAATAAGAGTTGTTTGGAATCACTTCTTCCTCTGCGAGATATTCCACTGCTGGGAGCCAAGTTGCTTGAAAATCTTTTTGGTGAGTGACAATTTTACCATATACAAAGTTTCCCCAGATTTTGTTTCGCCAACATTGAAGAGTAGGTTGATTTTTGTTTTTCCAGTACTGGGCTAATGTTATTCGTGCAATTGCTAACAATGTTGCTATTAATTTTCTAGTGACTTTACTTTCACAGGTATCTGGGAAGACATCCAACAGGACCGTTTCAGGTAGAAAAGGTAAGTTAATTCCCGTAATTTTGTGAATTTGTTGTACAATTTGTGTCCAGAACTGTTGAGATGAGGGACAGGACCACCAACAATGCATAAAATCTCCAGTCTTCCCACATTTTTTCCAGCAGAGTTTATTTATTTTTGAATCCATTTTATTTAGCCGAGCAGGTGTTAAGTACCAGCGATGAAGAATTTTAAAGAAATTAAGTTTGATATGTTTTTAATGTGTTTTAAATGTTATTGTATTTATTGAACTGTTGTGACCCGCCCTGAGCCCGTTTACGGGATGGGCGGGATATAAATGCGAAAAATAAATAAATAAATAAATGGCGAGTACTGATTGGTCCCATTTCAGACCGCTGGCCGCTTTGCAAGCAGGGGAGAAGAGGGCAAAGCGGATAAGAGGTGCAACTGGAGCAGAAAGGGTGCCAGCAATGACGGAAACCGTTGCTGTCCTCGGCCAAAAGCCTGGCAGAACATCTCTGCCTTACAAGCCCTGCAGAATTGCATAAGTTCCCGCAGGGCCCTGATGGTATCTGGCAGAGAGTTCTATCAGGTTGGGGCCAGGACGGAAAAGGCATAACATAAAATAAAAGAGATTCCACGCATTATTTAAAGTTGACAGCTCAGAGGGGGAGCCATGTTCGTCTGCAGTAGAACAGCCAGATTCCAGCCCAATAGCACCATAGGGACTCACAAGATTTTCGGACTTTGCGCTTTCGAGATCCAATGCTCACTTCATCAGATACGAGTAGGGATGGTACTTCTATCTGACCAAGGAAGTTTTGACTCTTGGGAGCTCATATCCCAAAACTCTTGTAGGTCTACGGTGCTACTGGGCTCAAATCTTTTTACTCAAAGTTGAAAATAATTACAGGTGAAAGGATTAAAAAAAACCAGAGAAGGAAGAGGCACAAGGGAACAGTAAAAATTCTGTAACAAAATTATCCGGAAAGGCATGCCAAATCACATCACATTCCCATGCTTAATAAATGCTTTCTTAAAAAATAAAAATAAAACAGACTGCTGCTAGGCGTAGCTCCGAAGCTCAACGGCATATGTTTAGATTTTCAGTTATGCAACATTAAACCTTGGGATTTCCCCTGCACTTGTGCGGTGGTTAAACACAACCACCACACAAGTGCAAAGGAATCCCAAGAGTTATGTACTTTCTCCATCCCAAACTTTAGGAAATATTCCAACGTTTCCTTGCATAAAATGAACAGACTTAAGAAGCATGCTAACACAGGGATAAAATTTCTCATCGGCAAGGTGTTACCTAACAGCAGTCCTTAGCACGTGCCTTAGAAAAGCACTGGGAGAATAACAGCCTCTTTCGGAGTCCGCTGGCATGCAGATTTCAGAGAAGATCAAGAGTACATCTGTCCACAGAAGAAGCAAGAGTGTTTTTAGGGGAGTCGATGAAGGAGGCCACAACCTTAGAGGTAAACGCAAACATCATTTTCTGTACCCCACTGCAAAAGATCCCAGGGAGGTGGGAGGACTGTTTGACTGTGCCACTTCAGGATATCAACATTTTCTCCGAGCCTGGATGACCATAACTTCAAAGTAAACTACTTTATGTATCTAGATCAAGATGGGTAGCCGTGTTAGTCTGTCCGTAGTAGTAGAAAAGAGCAACAGTCCAGCAGCACCTTAAAGACTAACAAAATTTGTGGCAGGGGATGAGTTTTCATTGAGTCATGGCTCACTTCTTCAGATATTTTATGTACAGTTTCAGGGGAATAACTATGTTGATCTACTGTAGAAGAGCTAAATTCAAGATCAGAAGTACCCTAGAACTCAACAAGATTTTCAGAGTTTAAGCTTTCTGGAGTTAAATCTCCATCAGATCTAAGGGAGCTTTTGACTATTGAAAACCTTGTTATTTTATACTTACAAGCAGTCTATAATCCTATGAGTCTTCACAGGCTATAACCCTATGAGTCTTCACAGCACTTCTAATAGGAATATTCACAACGGTCTTGAAAAGTAGGCCCTGTATGATTATCTCCACATCACCACAGCTGATCAGCTCACCTAAGGCCACCCAGCCAGTTCCTAGCTGCGATCAAACTTGAATCAGGGACTTCCCAGCTGACAACTCGCACTCCTAATCATTAGAACACATTCTGATTCCAGTGGCACCTTTAAGACCAACAAAGGTTTATTCAAGATATGAGCTTTCGTGTCCATGCTGCATGCACAGGAAAGCTCATGCCTTGAATAAACCTTTGTTGGTCTTAAAGGTGCCACTGGACTCAAAATCTGTTCTACTTCTTCAGACCAGCACAGCTGCCCACCTGGATCTAACTCCTAATCATTGTAATCACATCAGGAGAGATCAGAACATGATCCTAAACAGAGTCCACTGCGGCCAATGGGCTCAGAAAGGAGCAACTCGGCTTAACGTTGCACCAAAAGTCACTCGTTTGGTCCATGTACACCAATTCTACCTAAACATACATTCCGACTCTTCAATACAATTTGGAACTATTTCTCCATTTTTATTTTTTGAATAATTTGTCACATTTCATTCAACAGCGAGGAATTTCGGATTTCCCATTTTGGAAAGTTAGTAACAATCCTGCAAATGTATCCTTTAGTAATAACTGTTGCCAATGGCATTGTTTAAAAATGGGGGGAACATTCAAAGCTTTAGTTTAAAACTACATGCATTAAAAAATGAATTCCAGAAAAAGATTGGGGGGGTCACTGTTCATATTAATTATTTCGTTATATAATCCCTTGCTTTTTTCCAGAAATAAACAGACATTTAGTGCCATTTTAAAGACTAACGAATTTGTTATTCCAGCATAAACTTTTGTAGATTAGAGCTTGATTCAACAACTGCTCATGAAACCATCCCGATAAAAATATACTATAATATACAGTATGCACAATACCGAAATAACTCCCCTTAGCAATAATTATATTGTTATTTTTAGACATATGGATGTCTAGATTGTCCTTAACATCACGCTGAAACAAAAGACAACTGTGTTTGATCTAGAATGTTATTAACACTGTTAGGCTGCGATCACACATAAACTAAATAATCCACTTTCAGTGCTCCTTCCAACTGGATTTTACTGTGTGAACTGGCAAAATCCAGTTGGAAAGTCCATTAAAGTGGATTGTCTAGTGTGTGATCACAGCCTTACTGTTCCAAATTGAAAATGGCATAGCTAAATTGAGAAAACCTTGTAGATTTCAATGAGATTTCTATAGCTTTATGGTGTGCACTTATGCACGCATTCTACGGAACAAATCCCCCCAAAATTCCTGAGTATATATGCTAAGCTGACCACTCTTTTCAGTTAATACTACCAGAAGACACATTGCTCCAGCACAATACTTAGACCGGGCCTACCTTTCAAGGCTGTTGTGATGCTCATGGAGATCGTTATTAGAAGTGCTTTGAAGGCTGATAGTACTAGTATTACTTACCTGGGAAAGACCTAGGCTGCCCTTATGTATAAAGGAGTTTACTTGGAAGTGGTCTTCATCCAGCCTCGCAAAGTATTTTGCCATCCTTAAACGGTACAGTCGAACAGCCCCTCCCCACCCTTCCCGGGATCTTTTGCTGGGCAGTAAAGGAGATGATGTTCGCACTCACCTCTGAGACTTCAGGCTGCTAAAAATCCTGCTTCTCCTTGTGTGGGCAGTCGTTCCTTGATCGCCCCTGAAATCCGGGCGCCCAGGGGACTCTGCTGGTGCGGCGATCCGTAACGGCCCCCCCACCCCGCCCCACAACTCTGTTACCTGTGCTGGATGTAATTGTAAGTCCCAAAAGTATCAGGAATCGCAGCTCCATGAAACCCAAGTTGCAAACTTCTTAACTTGCAGGCAAACGTAGATGACAAAGGGGAGGGGGGAGGGATACAACGTTTTCCCCAAGCAAAATCGCTCCCGGCAGGAGGAGGAGAATTCCTGGGGTTTCTTTTTCCTGAGAGCCCTTCTTCTTACTTCCACGCGCCGAGGGGCTCTCGGGGGTTGCAGTTTAAAAATGACAAACACCCCTCGCCCCTTCCGTGCAGAACTAGTCCTGAGAAAGGGGGAAGCGTCGTGGAAAACCCCAAAAGCGCTCCATAGCTCGCCTCTTCTTTGAGTTTTTCTCCAACAATCCGAGTTGAAACTGAAGGGGGGGGGCTTCTAGAAAAACAACACCCCCTCCGGCGAGGAACCGGTTCCTTGATGCTCCCGCACCGTATTTCAGCCGCAGCTGAGCAAGACGCGCCGCGACTGGAAACCTTAGACGCTTCTCGCAAAAACGCGCTCCGCGATCGCAGCAACGCATCACTGGTCCCCAGCGCGGTCGGTCAGGGGCGTGGTCTGGGTGAGGGGCGTGGCTTGTGGGCCTGAGGCGTGGCCTAAGCCAAGGCCCTGCTTCTGACTGGCTCCTCTCCACCCTGAGATTTGCATCCGCGGAATACAGAGGTTGTGGGCTGGCTCATCTCCTTGCGTTGGGGCGCGGAGAAGCCACAAAGTCGAAGGTGGATGCTATTAAACGTGTATAAATAAAGGTATGGCTGACACCTGCAGTCTAATTTGCAAGGTGCATTTGATTAACTGCTGCTGTTCTCACAGAATGAGGGTGCTATTTTTGTGTGTGTCTCTCTCTGGTCTGCCAGCATCTTAAAAACTTCTTTTACACTTTTTTTTTTTGCATCAAATTGCTATGTGCACTCAGTAGGGCAGGGGTGCCCACCAAGTGCTTTGGGAAAATAGATGGGGCCAGGTGAGGCTTACAAAATTATGCATGGAATAGAGAAGGTAGAGGAAGAAGTACTTTTCTCCCTTTCTCACAATACAAGAACTCGTGGGCAACTGCCGTGGTAGAACTGCAGGGGCTGTGGTGGCTCAAGTGGTTAAGTGTAGCCCGGAAGGTCGGTAGTTCAGCAATTCGAGACCCGAGTGTGCCGCATGACGGAGTGAGCTCCTGTCTCTGGCCCCAGCTCCTGCCAACCTAGCAGTTCAAAAGCAAGAAATTGCAAGTAGATAAATAGATACCGCTTCGGTGGGAAGGTAACAGTGTTCCATGCACCTCACCATTTAATCATAGCAGCTACATGACCACGGAAACATCTTCAGACAGCGCTGGCCCTTCAGCTTGGAAACGGAGATGAGCACCACATCCCTAGAGTTGGATTCGACTGGCTTTCGAGCAAAGGAAACCTTTACCTAGGCTTAGAACAGATAAAAGGAAGTACTTCTTCACCCAAAAAGTTATTAACAGGTGGAATTCACTGCCACAGGAAGGGGTGGCAGCTACAAGCATGGACAGCTTCAAGAGGGAATTCGATAAGCATATGGAGCAGAGATCCATCAGTTGCTATTAGACACAATGGAACACTCTGGGGCAGTGATGTTCTGTATTCCTGGTGCTGGGGGCGGGGTGAAAGTGGAGGAGAAGATTGGATTTATACCCCGCCCTGCACTTGGAGTCTCAGAGCGGCTTACAAACTCCTTTCCCTCCCCACCCACCCTGTGAGGTGGGTGGGGCTGAGAGAGCTCTGACACAAACTGCTCTTTTTCAAGGACAGCTCTGCCAGAGCTTGTGACTGACCCAAGGTCACATCAGCAGGTGCAAGTGGAGGAGTGGGAAATCAAACCCAGTTCTCCCAGATTAGAGTCTGCACACTTAACCACTACACCAAACTGGCTCTGGGAATGCTTCTGGAGTTCTGGCCCCGCTGGTGGACCTCTTGAAGGCACCTAGATTTTGGGCACTTTCTGACATAGTGTTGGACTATTGGCCTGATCCAACATGGCTTCTCTTATGTTCTTAGGAACTAAAGACCAGCAAGGCTTCTCTGACTGGCCACTGGAGACTTATTTCATTCACTGTGCAGATTTCTGAAAATGTTGCTTTGGCAGCAGCTGCCACCACAGCACAAGGTAAGCTATGGCAGCCTTTTTGTGGCTGGCTCATCAGCAAGGGCAAATCTTCCTGTGTACAAAATCTAATTGCAATCAAGCAACCGGGTGGGCTTCATTACTTTTACTGACCTTGCCTGAAGAAGTGAGCAGCGACTCACAAAAGCTCATGCCCTGCCACAAATTTTGTTAGTCTTTAAGGTGCCTACTGGACTAGGGTTGCCAGGTGGGAGCAGGGGATCCACCAATGCCTACCATGGGTCAGCTGGCCGGTGGGGGGAACCTCAACCCCAACTGCCACAACCCAGCATGACGTTACACGGCGATGCTCTGATATTTTGAGTTTTACCCAGCTAGCCAGCGGCAAGCAGGAGCCCACGGAATCGGGGGATCTCCGCTCCCACCTGGGGCTGGCAACCCTATCTCCTAGTAAACTTAACCAGCTGTTGTCCTAAATAAGTGTCTTCAGTGAAAAAGGAGGAGGAAGAGGAGGATTTAACTGTATTTATGTTTTTAACTGTATTTATGTTTGTATGGAAGCCACCCTGAGCCTGCTTTTCAGGGAGGGAGGGGTATAAGTCTGATAAATAAATAAATAAATGTATACCCCGCCCTTCACATGGAGTCTCAGAGCGGCTTACGATCCCCTCCCCCTCCCCACGACAGACACCCTTTGAGGTAGGTGGGGCTGAGAGAGTTCTAAGAGAACTGCTCCTGAGAGAACTGTGACTGACCCAAGGTCACCCAGCTGGCTGCATGTGGAGGAGTGGGGAATCAAACCAATGCTCCCTCGAAGCCTGTGGAGCCTTGTGAGCAAAAATTCTTCTTTGTGGAGCTACCGGCGTTAAAGTTGTGAGCGAGCGATTTGGCCGCTGCATCAATTACTTTGCTCTGGAGCCATCCTTCCTGAGCGGAGATAAAAATGTGTGAGCTGGAGGCTAAAAAACTGTGAGCTAGCTTAGAGGGAACACTGAATCAAACCCAGTCCTCCCAGATTAGAGTCCACACTCCTAAACACCACACCAAACTGGCTGTAAAGATTAAAAGTGATCTTTCAGTCACTACCCACCCAACTTTTATCTGATCCTAGGTCTTCAGCTATATTTATTATTCAGTTACTTCATTTATAGCCCGCCTTTCTCCACAGTTGGGGCTCAAAGTCGCTTACTTCCTTTTCCTCTCCTCCATTTTATACTCAGGACAACCCTGTCTGTGGGGAGGGGGGACTGGGACTGAAAAACCCTGGGAGAGGGCTGCTTCCCCAGCCTGACTAACCGATTGGCCTGGTGCTGCTTTCCTCACCTCAGGCAGGCCAGGCTCCGTCTCGCACAGGGTGGGCACTACCTCCCTCATCTCAGCTGGGTGCCTCCCTCACCTCACGCAGGGCTTGGCTGGGTCAAGCTAGGCTTCACCTCATGTGGGGCTTGGCCAGGCCAGGTCGGGGGCCACCCTCTGCCTTGCCTCAAGGGGGGTTCGGCCAGGCCAGGCGCTGCCATCTATGTTGCCTCACCTCACACAGGGATCAGACAGGCTGGATGCCACCCTTTGCCTTGCTTCATCTTGTGCAAGACTCAGCTGGGTCAGCCGCTGCCACCCTCGGCCTTGCTCCACACCAGACTTGGCCCAGACTCGGCACCGCTATCTGCCTCACCTCACGTGTTGTGTGGGGCTTGGGCAGTCTGGGAACTGCCATCTGCCTTGCCTCGCCTTATGCGGGGCTCAGCTGGGCCAGGCACCACAATCTGCCATGGTTTGCCTAGACTTGGGCCTTCCAGGTCAGGACTCGCTGCTTACTAGTGAGAACTGATGACGCTAAAGCCTTTGATTATGTGGATCACAACAGACTGTGGCAAGTCCTTAAAGAGATGGGAGTACCAGACCACCTCACATGTCTCCTGAGAAACCCATATAAGGGTCAAGAAGTGACAGAACCGGATATGGAACAACTGATTGGTTTAGCATAGGAAAAGGAGTACAACAAGGATGTATACTGTCACTCTGCTTATTTAATTTATATGCAGAGTACATCATGCGAAATGCCGGCCTGGGTGAATCACAAGCCGGAATTAAGATTGCTGGGGAAAAGATCAACAACCTCAGATATGCAGACGATACCACTCTAACGGCATAAAGTGAAGAGGACCTCAAGAGCCTCTTGCTCAGGATGAAAGAGGAGAGTGCGAAAGTTGGTTTGAAACTCAACATCAAAAAACCTAAGATCATGGCATCTGGCACCATCACTCCTTGGCAAATAGAAGGGGAAGCCGTGGAAGCAGTGACAGACTTCACGTTCCTGAGATCCCAGATCACTGCAGACGGTGACTGCAGCCATGAAATTAAAAGACGCCTGCTCCTTGGGAGGAAAGGGATGGCAAACCTTGACAGCATGATAAAAAGTAGAGACATCACCCAGCCAACAAAAGTCCGTATGGTCAGAGCAATGGTATTCCCAGTAGTCATGTATGGCTGCGAGAGTTGGACCAGAAGGAAGGCTGAGCACCGAAGAATAGATGCTTTCGAATTATGGGACTCATCCACTGCAGCTTTAGCCTCCTCTTGTGGCCTTCACATGGGCGGTCCTTCAGCTGGGTGAGGGCCTGACAGCCCCAGCCCCCCCAAAAAAAAAAAAATACATCAGGAGCATGCATTGTGCAAGGGTCTTGCAGAACCCAGTCTTACATATGAAAATGTCTTCTTGAATGACTTTAGAGGGCATCGCAATATTGTCTCGTTGTGGTGGCAGGCCAGACTCTCCAGCCTGTATCTTATGACTGAAAATATTCAGAGCCAGGTAGGGGCCAGAGCCGAAAAGGAGGCAAGACGGACGTCCCTGGGGCTGGGGACTACCAGGAGATGCTGACAGGGCCGGCCCCAGCTTATCTTGCACCCTAGGCGAGGATCCCTTCTGGCGCCCCGCCCCCCCCCCCGTGCGCCCACCAACAGCCAAGTTGACAACCAGAGGGTGCGAGGAGAGTCACCAGGCTCCCCCCTTCAGGGCGCTTGGAGAAGAGGCTGACCGGCAAGGCGCTCACAAGCTGTCGCTCCCCCGGCCCTGCTGCTGCTGCAGCAGCAGCTTCCAGTCCCTGGCCACGAGGAAGAGGAGAAGCGCTTTGCTGGGAAGCTGAGGGGGCAGGCAGGGAGAAGTTAGCCGGCCAAAGAGGCAGCGGCGGTGGCAGCCACCCGGTCAGGGAGATACAGGGCTTTTGGCGGGGGGGGGGCGGGAGCAGTTTGGCGCCCCTAAGGGCCGGCGCACTCTAGGCAAATGCCTAGTTTGCCTAGTGAGCGAGCCAGCCCTGGATGCTGATTAGCAGGTTGTAAAGCCCTTCGGGGCTCACAGGGAGAGAGGCAGTGTCACAGATATGCAGGCCCCACCACCA